TCATCCCGATCCGATTTTGTCCCGATCTTCGCGTCGTTTGAAATTGGTCCCCTACAGGAGGATTTGGGGCGAAAGCTATGACAAAAAACAATAACAACAAAAAAAAAACCCTCGAAACGCTAAAAAAATGCTCGAAAAATGCTCCCCCGACGATTTTTGACGATTCGAAACATCCCTCCCGAAGAGGGACAGGCCCGACTTAAACAACTGTAAAACGAGGCTAGGATCGGGATAAATCGCTCCAGAGCGTTCCGGAGCGCTCTCAGAGCGCTCCGGAACGCTCTGGAGCGGCCGCGGCGCCCAATACATCCTCCAAACCCGCCGATTCTCAGAGATTTCGAGTTATCCCGATCCGATTTTGTCCCGATCTTCGCGTCGTTTTACATGTCCCCCTACAAGGGGATTTGGGGCGAAAGCTAGGACAAAAACAATATAAAAAAAACCCTCGAAATGCTAAAGTCAAATAATATAAACATAGTCCCCCGACGATTTGTTTTGCCTATTAAGAACATTCCTCCCGTAGAGGGACAGGCCCGACATAAACAATTGGTCCCCCAGCCTCTCTGCCCCTCCAGCCCGAAGTGTTAGGTCGGGCATGTCCCCCTACAGGGGGATTTGGGGCGAAAGCTGTGCCAAAAACAATCAAACGAATACCCTCGAAATGCTAAATTACCCTGTGACGTACACAACCCATTTGTATCAATGGAAACGAGGAGTTGGCCGAAACTTGTATGGACAATCAACTTGCTGTGTAAGCTACTTGGGAGGCGTCACTGTGCTGGGCCCCGCCAGCAAGCCTCGAAAGTGGCGACAGTTTCACAGATCGCAGCCCCCCAGGGATGGCGAGGTCTAATTTGAATCTGCGTGTGGCATCACTGTGCTGGGCCCCGCCAGCAGGCGTCGAAAGTGGCGACAGTTTCGCAGATCGCAACCCCCCAGGGATGGCGAGGTCTAACTTGAGTCCGCCGTGGGTACCCACTGTGCTGGGCCCCCCAGCAGGCCTCGAAAGTGGCGACAGTTTCACATATCGCAGCACCCAGGGATGGCGAGGTCCCATTTGAGTCCGCCGTAGGTACCCACTGCGGTGGGCCCCGCCAGCAGGCCTCGAAAGTGGCGACAGTTTCACAGATCGCAGCCCCCCAGGGATGGCGAGGTCCCATTTGAGCCAGCCGTTGGTACCCACTGCGCTGGGCCCCCCAGCAGCCCTCGAAAGTGGTGACAGCTTCGCAGATCGCAGCCCCCCAGGGATGGCGAGGTCCCATTTGAGTCCGCCGTGTGTACCCACTGTGCTGGGCCCCCCAGCAGCCCTCGAAAGTGGCGACAGTTTCGCAGATCGCAGCCCCCCAGGGATGGCGAAGTCCCATTTGAATCCGCCGTGGGTGCAGACTGCGCTGGGCCCCCCAGCAGGCCTCGAAAGTGGCGACAGTTTCACAGATCGCAGCCCCCCAGGGATGGCGAGGTCACATTTGAGTCCGCCGCGGGTGCAGACTGTGCTGGGATGGCGAGGTCCCATTTGAATCCGCCGCGGGTGCAAACTGTGCTGGGCCCCGCCAGCAGGCGTCGAAAGTGGCGACGGTTTCGCAGATCGCAGCCCCCCAGGGATGGCGAGGTACCATTGAATCCGCCGCGGGTGCAGACTGTGCTGGGCCCCCCAGCAGGCCTCGAAAGTGGCGAGAATTTCCCAGATCGCAGCCCCCCAGGGACGGCGAGGTCCCATTTGAGTCCGCAGCGGGTGCAGATTGTGCTGGGCCCCCCAGCAGGCCTCGAAAGTGGCGACAGTTTCGCAGATCGCACCCCCCCAGGGATGGCGAGGTCCCATTTGAGTCCGCCGCGGGTGCAGACTGCGCTGGGCCCCCCAGCAGGCCTCGAAAGTGGCGACAGTTTCACAGATCGCAGCCCCCCAGGGATGGCGAGGTCTCATTTGAGTCCGCCGCGGGTGCAGACTGTGCTGGGCCCCCCAGCAGGCCTTGAAAGTGGCGACAGTTTCGCAGATCGCAGCCCCCCCAGGGATGGCGAGGTCTCATTTGAATCCGCCGCGGGTGCAGACTGTGCTGGGCCCCCTAGCAGCCCTCGAAAACGGCGACAGTGTCGCAGATCGCAACCCCCCAGGGATGGCGAGGACCCATTTGAGTCCGCCGCGGGTGCAGACTGTGCTGTGCAGGCCTCGAAAGTGGCGACAGTTTCACAAATCGCAGCCCCCCAGGGATGGCGAGGTCCTATTTGAGTCCGCCGCGGGTGCAGACTGTGCTGGGCCCCGCCAGCAGGCGTCGAAAGTGGCGACAGTTTCACAGATCGCAGCCCCCCCAGGGATGGCGAGGTCCCATGTGAGTCCGCCGCGGGTGCAGACTGTGCTGGGCCCCCCAGCAGCCCTCGCAAATGGCGACAGTTTCACAGATCGCAGCCCCCCAGGGACGGCGAGGTGTAATCTGAGTCCCCGTAAGACGTCGCTCCGCTGCCCCCCCCCCAGCAGCCCTCGAAAGTGGCGACAGTTTCACGGATCGCAGCCCCCCAGCGATGGCGAGGTCTAGTCAGAGTCCCCGTAAGACGTCACTGTGCTGGGCCCCCCCCCAGCAGGCCTCGAAAGTGGCGACAGTTTCACAGATCGCAGCCCCCCAGGGATGGCGAGGTCTAATCTGAGTCCCCGTAAGACGTCACTGTGCTGGCCCCCCCGCAACCCTCGAAAGTGGCGACAATTTCACAGATCGCAGCCCCCCAGGGATGGCGAGGTCTAATCTGAGTCCCCGTAAAACGTCACTGTGCTGGGCCCCTCAGCAGCCCTCGAAAGTGGCGACAGTTTCACGGATCGCAGCCCCACAGCGATGGCGAGGTCTAATCTGAGTCCCCGTAAGACGGCACTGTGCTGGGCCCCCCAGCAGCCCTCGAAAGTGGCGACAGTTTCACAGATCGCAGCCCCCCAGGGATGGCGAGGTCTAATCGGAGTCCCCATAAGACGTCACTCCGCTGCCCCCCCCCCAGCAGCCTTCGAAAGTGGCGACAGTTTCGCGGATCGCAGCCCCCCAGCGATGGCGAGGTCTAATCTGAGTCCCCGTAAGACGTCACTGTGCTGGGCCCCCCAGCAGCCCTCGAAAGTGGCAACAGTTTCACAGACCGGGAGAAGGGAGGAGAGGAGGGGGACGGGAAGGAGGAGGGGAGACGCAACCGCAGTGCTCTATTCAAAACGAGTACCCAACGCAGGAGGGTTGGGAAAAATCACTCGATACATTATTAAGAACACTCCTCGCGTAGAGGGACAGGCCCGACTTAAACAACTGGTCCCCGGGCCCCTCTGCCCCCGCGGTGGCGCTGACTGCGCGGCCGCCCGGCCAAAACCACGGAGAGGCAGCCGCCGCGCGGAGGGGCTCCGCGGGCGCGGGGAGGGGGGGCGGGGGGGGCATCACAGCAAGGGAGAGGGAGGAGGGAGGAGGAGGAGGAGGAGGGGGAGGAGGAGGAGGAGGAGGAGGAGGAGGAGGAGGAGGAGGAGGAGGAGGAGGAGGAGGAGGAGGAGGAGGAGGAGGAGGAGGGAGGAGGAGGGGAGGAGGAGGAGGGGGAGGAGAGGAGGAGGAGGGGAGGAGGGGGAGGGGAGGAGGGGGAGGAGGAGGAGGAGGAGGAGGAGAGGGAGGAGGAGGAGGAGGAGGAGGAGGAGGAGGGAGGAGGAGGAGGAGGAGGAGGAGGAGGAGGAGGGGGAGGAGGAGGAGGAGGAGGAGGAGGAGGAGGAGGAGGAGGAGGAGGAGGAGGAGAGGAGGAGAGGAGGAGGAGGAGGAGGAGGGGAGGGGAGGAGGGGGAGGGGGAGGAGGGGAGAGGAGGGGGAGGAGGAGGAGAAGGAGGGAGGAGGGGAGGAGGAGGAGGAGGAGGAGGAGGAGGAGGAGGAGGAGGAGGAGGGGAGGGGAGGAGGAGGAGGAGGAGGAGGAAGGAGGAGGGAAAGGGGAGGAGGGGGGAAGGGGAGGAGGAGGAGGAGGAGGAGGAGGGGGAGTATGAGGAGGAGGAGGAGGAGGAGGAGGAGGAGGAGGAGGAGGGGGAGGAGGAGGAGGAGGAGGAGGGGGAGTATGAGGAGGAGGAGGAGGAGGAGGAGGAGGAGGAGGAGGAGGAGGAGGAAGGAGGAGGTACGGGGTTCTGCCCCCCTTCTCCTCATCCTGCCCCTCCACGGTTACACATTGTGAACACCTGCCTCTCTCCCAAGGATTCTGGCAAGAAGGGAGAAGGCACGGACCCTGAACAAGTGTTACCAGGAACACGGGCGCCAGAACAAGAAAAGTATGAAAGCTGTTTTCCGACATGGGGCACGTTTCAAGTGAAACGCCGTGCGGCAGAGCCGATTCCTCAAGGAGTTTTACGGGGTGAAGCGGGTCCACCCGGTCAAACTTGATCAGGAAAGCGCAGCGAACCCTTGTGCGCGAACCAGACGGGCCACAGGGGACACGAACATCTACAAAAGGTCGTCGAAAACCAAACGAACTCAAAACGTAAAACTGATGTATAATAAACGTGAATCAAGCATCTCATGTCTGACGAGAGCGGGCGGGGTGAAAGAGCAGAAATATCTGAAGCAAATGCTGAGGCAGTAGCAGGAAGCGGAGTCATTGGACTTGAAGAGACAAAGCATGGCATCACTCAAGACTTGTCAGCTCTCACTTGCGTGAAATGAAGACTGAGATTGAAGGCCACGTCGGCGTGGATGATTCGCTGTTGTCGCATGAGGCCCTCGATATGACGGCTCGTGGCAATTGCGAGCCACCGCAAGAGATCGTCATGGAGCTCTTCAATATGTGGGTAAGAGAGCAGGCCTTAGTGAGGGAAAACTTACACCTCGGCCGAACCCAGAGCCTAAATTGTTTACGGAAGAAACGGAGGAGTAGGAGAAGTAGGAGAAGGATTTTTTCCAGGGTTTCCAGGAGGTCGGCGACCAACCGAGGAGGAGGAGGAGGCGGAGGGAGAGGAGGAGGACAAGGAGGAGGAGAAAGGAGGAGAGAGGAGAGGGAAGAGGGGCCGTGCACCCAAGGAGCCTCCGCGGGGCTGACGCCGAGGGGCTTCGCTCCCGCGCGGAACTCGTTCAGCCCGAGCGGCGCCTGAACGGCCCGGGCACGCGGCCAACGGCCCTCGATGCGGCGACGTCGGGGCCCCTGCCTGGTAGGCACCGGGCCCAGTCGGCACGGGGGCCTTCTGGCAGTCACTGCCTCCCTCCCCTGCTCGTCCACCTCCTCCTCCTCCTCTTCCTCCTCCCCCTCCTCTCCATCCTCCTCCACCTCCTCCTCCTCCTCATCATCATCCTCCTATTCCTGCTCCTCCTCCTCCTCCTCCCCCTTATATGACTCGTCCCCCTTCTACTCCTTTCATCTCCTCCTTCTCCTCCTCCTCCTCCTTCTCTCCTCCTCCTCCTCCTCCTCCTCCTACTCCTCCTCCTCCTCCTCCTCCTCCTCCTTCCTCCTCCTCCTCTCCTCCTCCTCCTCTCTCCTCCTCCTCCTCCCCCTCCTCATCCTCCTCCACCTCCCTCCTCTCCTCCTCCTCTCCTCTCCTCCTCCTCCTCCTCCTCCTCCTCCTCCTCCTCCTCATCCTCCTCCTCCTCCTCCTCCTCCTCCTCCTCCTCCTCCTCCTCCTCCTCCTCCTCCTCCTCCTCCTCCTCCCCTGTTCCTCCATTCCTTTGCTTTATCACAAATCCCTGCGTGTCGCACTCCGAAGCCGGTCGGAAGGACGGGCCGGGCACTTCGGCTGTATGACCCTGCTTCAAAGTTGGCAACATTTTGACATATGGAAAATGGGTCGCTTCCAAAACGTGTCCCTCGCCTTAGCGCCGTGCACATTCGCCTTAAACAGTTGCAATGGTTTCACGGATTGAGCGTAAGCCATTTTTCAAATGTGGCTCTCGCATTAGCGCCGCGCACATGTCTTTCGAAACATTCCAAGAGTTTCACGGACTCCCATGGTCAACATACCATACATGGTGTTTTGGAAGGATTCAGGATTGTGAGGGAACAACAGTTATGTTCGTGGTGTTGACGTCCCAGCAATGAGGTTCCTGCAAGATTCAGGGATGTCAAGACGCAACTGTCACGACAATGGCGTTGGAGTCCCGACAATGGTGTTTTGACACGCTCCAGGGTCTTCAAACGGTTGTCTGTCAACGGGGCAATTCCCTCAGTGGAAGTGAACGCTTGTACGGGCATATGAAGAGAGAGATTGGAGGGAGTGTCTATTTCAATATCGTTGACGAGTCCTGGGTTTGCACTGGTCCCCGCCATACTGAGAGGAGGGATACACCATGGCATAAACATTACACACATCGGGGGTCCGCGCGGATTCCGCGCGGGCCTCCTAGTTTGTATGCTTATGTCATTGTTTGTTCCCCGATTCGGGTCAGGAACTGTGGCTTAGCGTGTCGCGGCGGCGGCCGTAGCGGCACGCTCTGCCTTGCCGCATGATGATGTGTCGCTCCGCTCCGCGGGGCGGGAGGCTTGGAAAGCCTCGGAGCGTTGATGCCTTTAGGCCAGGAGTTGGACAGCGTGTCGCGCCGAAGCGTGGTGAGCAAGAATCGGTGGAGCGACACGCTGAGCCAAAGTCCCTGACCGTATGAGGATCATCCCGGAGGCCTCGCGCGGCAACGTGAGGCCCATTTTGCTTCGGACCTACGTCGGACTTACGCCGGGACGTCTCCGCGCAGACGTCGTCCCATATCTGACGGGTCGAACAGGTGGACTGGATCATACACACGTTGCGCGCCGCGCGAGGCCTCCAGGATGCTCTTCATAGCCGAAGGGGCCCTGGGACACACAAATAAATACACACAAATAAAAACATCCCCCATCTTTTCCCATCTTTTCTGGGTTTTTGCCTTCCCCCCCCACTTCCCATATGTTCCCCTATCTTCGGGGGAGTCGAAGATTACTTGTGTCTGTGTTGTTGTCCCCCTCCTGAATCGTGCGCCCACGCCTCCCCGCCGCTCAAAGGCTTCCGAGGCTCGCGGGGTCTCCGGACGCTCCCGCCGGGGACCGGCGGCCCGTCGAGTCTCGGGAGGTCTCCTCCCGGCTGCGCCTCGCCGAGGGCGCTCCCGAGGTGCCCGGATCGTCCCGAGCGGCCGGCGGAGAGCCGATAGTTGATGCCCCGAAGACCGGAGAGCCCAGAGTCGGATCGACGAGTCGGATCGGCAGTCGAAATGAATCGGATCGGCGGAATCGGCAGCCGAATCGGGAAAAGTCGAATCGGCTGAAATTGGCAGGCCAGTATGCCTCCAATAAGAAATCGGAACCCAAATCGGAATCCCAAGTCGAATCGAATCGGAATCGGAAGCCATCGAAGTCGAATCGAATCGAATCGAATCGGAGGAATCGAAACGAGCCCTGCCGAAGACCAAATGGCCGATTTCGCGGACGCGTGGGAGGGGGGGAGGTCACCAGCCCGGGGCGCATCCCTATCTCTATGAACGGCATCGCCTCACCTCGACGTCGACCTTCAGGACTACCTCGGCCTCTGGGGGCACATCCAGAAGGTTGCGGTCGCCCCTGGCAGAAGCGGTAAGAGCATCTTGGGGATGAGGGTAAGGCCGTGTCGGATAAGGAGGCACAGAGTAGGGACCCGCCTCCCCTCCTCCTCCTGCTCGCCACCTCCCCCTTCCTTCCCCTCTCCTCTCCCTCCGCTCCCTCCGCCCCTGCTGCGTTCAATGAAGCAGCGTGCCCTGGAGCGTCTCGTCCAGTGAGCCACGTGTGCCCCGCGGCACCTCGAAACTCCCACACACCTAAATAATGATAAGAGCACGTCACGTGCGACAAGACATCGTACCCAGATCCGGCTAAATTCGTGGGAAGTGCTGGCATGCACGCTGTCATTTTATGCTTCTCACTCATGTAAAAATCCGCCACCGTGCCCCCTGGCACGGCCCAAGATGCCTCCCAGAGGGCCCAAAATGGCCACAAGAGGACCTCCAACAGGGCCCCAAAGAAGTCACAAATATTGACTTCCCTTGGGTGCTTGAATGACTTTGGCATTCTCGCCTTTTCGGGCTACCGTCAGCTCAAGACGGCCCAAGAGGACTCCACGATGGCATAAGATGCATCCAAGACAGCCCAGGAGGGCTGCCCCTAAGACCCAAGACGGCCTTAGAAGGCCCCTTGACGGCCCAAGACGCCACCAAGGCGGCCCCACGACGGCCCCCAGACACCCATCGTACGGCCAAGAGGGCCCCAAGACGGCCCAAGAGAGCCCCAAGCTGGCGTAAGGAGGCCCCAAGACGGCCCAGGAGGGCCCTCAGGAACCTTCAAGACTGCCTCACAGGAGGCAAATACAGGTCCAAGACGCCCCTAACGAGTTTCATCATCCTCATCGTCGTCGTTGTAATCATCATCATCGTCACCACCACCACCACCAACATCATCATCATCATCATCATCATCATCATCATCATCATCATCATCATTATCATCATCATCATCATCATCATCATCATCATCATCATCATCACCAACAGCAAAATCAACATCGTCGCCTTCATTGTCCTCATCAACATCACCATCACCAGCACCATCACCAACACCATTAACATCAACCTCGTCATCTTCGCCACCGTCACCACCACCACCACCGTCATCATCACCATCATCATGATCATCAAGGGCAGCATCAACATCACCATCACAATCAACAGCACCATAAGCATTACCATCATCATCAACATCATCATCATGATCAGCATCATCATCATTCTCATCATCGTCATCATATTCAACATCATCATCAGCATTACCACCAGCATCAGCATCGTCAGCATCAACATCAACGTAAACATCAACATCACAAGCATAAGCATCATCATCACCGTCATCACCACCGCCAACACCATCAACGCCATGGACATTATTATCAACGTCGTCATCATTAACAAGAGCAGCAATGTCGTAAGCATCGTCACAATCGTGGCGGGCATCATCATCAACATCAACATTAACATGATCATCATCACCACCACAATCATCATCATCATCAACATCATCATCACAGTCATCATCATCACATTCATCACCATCATCATCATCATATTCATCATCTCCGTCATCATCGCCATCAGCATCGTCTTCGTCATCCACAGCATCATCATCATAAACCACATCATCGCCATCAGCATCACCATCATCACCATCACCATCAACACCATTATCACCATCGCCATCATCAAAATCAGCATCATCATCGTTATCAGCATCACCGTCGTCATCACCCCATCATCATCATCAGCATCATCATCATTAGCATCATCATCAACATCATCATGATCCACATTATCATCACGGCTCTCCCAAGCCTGGATACACGACGTTTCAATGTGACGGCTTCCTGCGCCCCATCGAACAGTCGCCAACCCAAATGCTGGGCTGGCACGGTGGCCACAGGCAACTGAATCTGTAAATACATACACGTACATATGCATGTCTTTGTACATATGCAAACAATATTTACATCTTGTACATATATAGACATACATATATATACACATCTGATATAAATATATACATTACACATACAAAGCATATCGCATACGACATATGCGATATGTCATATATCATATAACGGGCAACTCGGCCCCCCGCCCTGGGGGCGGCCCACTTTTCACACACCCGCACACACAAACGCACACACGGTCCCGCTGTTAGTTCCGGAGGGAACCGACCCTTTTCGGGGCGCTTCGGGGCCGTGCCCGCTGTTTGGGAGCAACAAATCGGCCCCTAGAGCGATCAGCCGATACGGCGGCCCAAGACGACCCCGAGCCACCCCGAAGACGAACTCCAGGGGTCACAGACGGCCCAAAAAGCTTTCCAAACGAACCAAAAGGCCCCCAAGACGGCCCAAGACGGCACCAAGAGGACCCCGACGAGAGCCCCAAGAGGCCAAACTTATAGATTCACATTTTGTTGTTGAAAGACTGTGGCGTTCTTACCGCTTTGGGCTTCCCACGCTCCTAGACGGCTCAAGAAGCGCCCACGACCGCCCCGAAACGGCTCAAGAAGAGTCCACGAACGCCCGACGACGGCGTCACATACCTTTCGGGAGCCTCGAGATAACTCGTGAGGGCCCCAGGACAGCC